TGTTCTGGAAAGAGCTCTCTCAGCCCCACCTACCTCACAGGGTGCCTGTTGTGGAGAGGGGAAGGGAAAGGAGATTTTAAGCCACTCTGAGTGAAGGGCAGGTTATAAATCCAATCTCTTCTTTTTGTGTGACGAGAAATGATTGTCTATTGTATTCATGTAATGGAACCAGGCACAGGTCGGAGGCTGACTTGGTGAATCCACACCCCTTCTGCAATGGTGTAGCATCTTTCTTGGGGTATTTACCACAATTTAAAACAATGTTTTTCTATTGCTTTGACCTCCTGAAGACGCATTCCTTGCGTAAATTCTACTGCTACGGTGTACCTAATTCAATGCACACTATTTCCCAAGAATGGCGGACTGTCCGTGTGCAGAACCTGAAACTCTTGGGTCCTGATCCAGGGAGAGGATCTGTTTGTGTGGAGGTGACCTGGTTTTTGACTGTCAGGGATCCTAGAGTGTCAAAGTCCTTTTGCATACGACGATGAGGAGGATGCGATTTATAAAGCAAGGCCACCAAGAAATACAACCATGCGGTTATTGAATCCAGATGACAGAAGGCAAGAGTGAGAGAACACTGACTTGATTTAAAGGAAAAGGTAAAGGTTTCCCTTGCTCGAAAGCCAGTCAAATCTGCCTCTAGGGGGCGGTGCTTATCTCCGTTTCCAGGCCAAAGAGCCAGCACTGTCCGAAGACTTCTCCATGGTCATTTGGCCAGCATAACTAAACGCCAAGGCACACAGAACGCTGTTACCTTCCCACTGAAGCAGTACCTATTTATCAACCTGCAATTTGTTGCTTTCAAACTGCTAGGTTGGCAGGAGCTGGTGCCAGAGACGGGAGCTCACTCCGTCATGGGGCACTTGGGTCTCGAACTGCCGAACTACAGACCTTCCAGTCTGCAGCTCAGCATCTTAACCTCTGAGCCACTGCAGCCCCTTGATTTAAAGTAGGAACTTTCAAACTCATAGCTCAGGTTATGGACCAGTAAGGGGTGTATCTTCTGGGTGTTTAGCCACTGAACTCAGTGGGACATCCTTCCAAGGAGACAGACTGTGGGCTACTCTAGTTCAGGGACTTTAAAACTTGGGGGGGGTCAATGGGATAGAACATTGTATTATTACCTGCCCGGCTGGATTGGGTCCACTGGCTATAGTTTTCTGAATGGGCACTGTCAGGGCTATTTTTGGGCAGGAACACACAGGAACGGAGTTCCGGCTGGCTCCCAAGTTGGCCACGCCCAGCAGGAACTCATTAGCATAACAGGCCACACCCAACAGCAGGAACTCATTCGGATTGGCTACATTAGGGGTGTGTGGCCTAACATGCAAAGAGGTTCCTGCTACAAGCAAGGTAAACCGAATAAGAAGCAAAAGTTGGGTGTGGCTGGATGACCACACTTCTGGTAACATGGGGGTGCGGCCTAATATGTTAATGTGCTGTGCTGTCAGGGGTGTGGCCTAATAGGCTAATGAGTTCCTGCTGTTGGGTGTGGCCTATTATGCTAATGAGTTCCTGCTGGGCTTTTTCTACAAAAAGAGCCCTGGCACTGTCATTTGGTTGTAAGCCGGGTGGCGGAACTGATTCTCTCCAGAGCAATCCTATTGGCTCCTGGTGGTCTCTTCCCATTATGGGTTCCACATACGATGTCTTCGAGAAGCTCTCCGAGTCCTCTCAACTCCTGCGTGATCCCAGCGGCTCCCACATGGGGTTTTCTCTCCACCTGTCCCCCTTCCCCTTCCCGGCTTTTTCTCCTTTTGTAACTCTGTGCTTTCTGCCCAACAGAAAGACAAACGCGATACTTCCAACTTCGATAAAGAGTTCACGAGGCAGCCGGTGGAACTCACCCCCACAGACAAGCTCTTCATCATGAACTTGGACCAGACTGAGTTTGCGGGATTTTCCTACACTAACCCCGAGTTTGTCATTAATGTCTAGGCGGCTTGGCAGGATGCCGGGCCCGAGCGCCTTGGCGGCCCAGCGCTCCACGCTCAGGAGGCTCAGTCTTCCGGGTTCATGGGGTGCGCCTCTCTTCCTCCGTCCTCCTCGGCCCTCCTCGGCGAAGAGGCGGCCGCTTGTCTCTAGGTGCCTGTTCCTCTGTGTGTAGACAGTCGACTTGCTTGCCTTTTGACCTGTCTCTTGGAGATGTGTTGAGTGTGTCCTTTTGTCCGCAAAAGGGTAGCGTTCCTAGAACTTCCGGCCAGTGGCTACCAATAGAGTCTTTGAACTATGTCCGAGTATTGTCTCCCAAAAAAAGATACCACATTTACTACCGTCTTTGTAATTTACGGATTTCTCTGCAACGGAGATGCTGGTATTTCTGTGTCTTCTCTGAATGCTAAGCATGGTCGGTACCCTGAACCTCTGTGCCCTTGCTCCCGCTGCTTTTGCGATGACTGTCGCCCGTGTCTTAAATCCGTCTCTCCTTTTTTTCCCCCCTTCTTCTCTGCTCGAGTGGGAACTAAATCCGGTCAACCTCACTGGTGTGTGAAGGCGTCTCTTTCTTAAGTCGTTCAAAACTCTACCCTGAACCTGTCTCCTTCTTCAGCTACCGTGAGCGCTTTCTAGAACAAACGGCCCATCTCCAGGCAGGGGGCTTCCGGGAAAAAAAGGAATTTCCATTCCAGTCCTCGTAAAATAAAGCTATTCTGGTGGGAGGTTTCGGAGGAGCTAGAAAGGGGGCATTTTTAAATAACTGGGACCGTTTGTTGCTTTCGCAGTGCTCTTTGGTGAATTCTGGTTTTTAAAAACAAAAACAAATGTTCGGAGTCGGTTTGGGAGGGATTGCTAGGACTCCGCAAAAGTGCAAAGGTGATCAGTTTTTGCTTTGGAAGGGATGCCCACCAAGGGAAGGCGGTAAGATGGTGGTGATTCTCTCTGAGCGTTGGGGCTTGCGGAGACGTCCTGGAAACAGGACTTGCACTCTTTTTTTCCTCCCTTTCCTTTTTGCAATTAGTAATACCAAACCATATGTACCAGGAGATAAAAAAGCAGAATGTTATTTTTAAAATCCTGCTGGTATTTGTAATAAACAGTTTCAGCATCCTTATGGCTGGGGGATCGAGAAAGCCATCTGGAAAAAGCCCGGCCAGAAAAAAGGAT